AGGGGGAGTGAGGGTCCTTTCCTTTTAATCATGGATTTTGGGGGGTTTTGCAAATTTTTTTTATCAGTGAATTTGCAATTTTTTTTGTCAGGGAAAACCAGGATCCCTGGTAATCAGTCAGATGAAATTCAACAAGAACATGTACAAATTCTTGCACTTGGGACAGAATCATTGCATACATAATTACAGACTGGGGAATAATTTGCTAGGATACCTTTACACAGAGAAGGACTTGAGGGTTACATGGACCATAACATGAATATGAGCCAACAGTGTGCTCTTGAGAAGTGTGCTCTATGAGAAGAGTTCGGCCTGTCATTTGAGTTCTTTGTTTCTATGTACCTCAAAGATGATTACCACTTTGTTTCTGATTGCAAGTATCTTCAGCTTTCTTTCTAGTAAGTTGTATCTAATATTCAACTTTAAATGTTCAGCTTTACAAATGTCTGTTCTGTTGTAGATTATAATCAACATAATGCTTCTCTGAGACAATGGAGCAGTGGATATTTACCAAATTCTAAACCTCAAGCAGTATCAGGAACATCTGACCAGGTATCAGATGGAAGGAAAAAAAGGCATCTAAGTGAGACAGCAATAGGTAAGGCAAAACTAGGGATATACAAAACCGCTGTTCATTCTGAAAAAACCCACAGCTACTTTCTTTCTGAAGATGCATTGTATAGCTTTTCACATAAATGAGTTTTTTATCAGAAAAATAACCTTAAGAAACTATATTTTAGAGAGGTGTGAGAAATGGGCTAATAAAAGGAATCAACACACCACCAACAGAATAAAATAAATGCAAACCATTTAAAACACAACTTTTTTGGCCCAACCTTAATTCTGTTTCAGAGTAGTAACAAAACTAATCATGCTTCTGTCTTTAGTATACTTCCTAAAGGAATTGCTTAACATAGTTGTATTTTTGTGATTCTGCGTGTCTAGATTATTATTACAGGAATTTTTTATCATGCTCAGTGAAACAGAATGAGTTGATAGATAACTTTATAAATCACTTAGCCAAACATTTACTGTTTCTACAAGTTGGTCAGCTATGTTAATTTATTATTTATTGTGGTTTCAGGTTCTGGTTTTCTTTTAAACCATTAAGTACTGTATAATTATATGCAAACTTCTTCATCTGGCTATTGGAAAGTCAGTGTTTAAAAAATAAATAAAAAATTGCACGTGTATATCAGTGTTAGGGTGATCATGGTACTTATAGACCAGTGAGTTATATTTCAACACCAAGTCAGAGGAATTAGCAGCATCCAGCCTGAACAAACAGCTGCAGAAGCTGTCCGGCCAGGGCCCTGTGGACATTCAGTGACACTTGTATCATTTTGATTTGGCTTTCTTGGCTATGTGCTAATTTGGCTGTTTGTATTAGCTCCCTCCTTTCGCTGTCACTTTAACTTCACATATACCTCATAACGCCCTTTTGTCCAGCCCCCATGCCCCTTGTTCCTTTTGCTTCAGTGTCCCCTCTTCCTTCACTTTTTTTTCAGAGTAATTTATATCCTTCTAACTATGCCCTCCTTATCCAAAGCTTGTAACTAACACATTTGTTGCAATAGTATTGCTCACTCTGCTTGCTTGTGTCTTATACCCTTCTCTCTACTCTCTCTTGTGTATTTACACTGTAAGCTCTTTGGAAGGGGTCTCTGTATACAGGACCCAGGACAGTGAGGTTCCTTTCTTGGTTGACACATCGGCACTGACATAAGGGTGACTAAATAATTATAATGGGAAGTAATGAAAAGGTCAGATTTGCACAGGATCTGCACAGTTGTTTTGGGTAGTCAAGACTGAAAAAATGAGTTAGGAACTACTAAGGCTCAAGGTATTTGGTTGAGCAATGTGATGGCAGATGAAACTGGGTGTAGACAAGTATAATGTGTTGTACAAGTAGTGATTTGAACTATTCATAAATTACAGTGTACATAATTCCTGTGCTTGTAGTAATAGATAATAAAGTGACATTTTCAAGTTTGTAATTTAGGTTCTGCTGACACATTTTTTGAGAATTTAAAAAATAATCTGTTCTCACCGTCACAGTTTTCTTATGAGAGCATGCTGCTTTGCAACTCATTTGTGCGTAGCAGAAGACGCTTTATCTTGTTGGTGTGAATGGCCCAATTCAGCATATTTATTCCTAATCTGGGCTCTGTCCAGGAAAAAATTATCCATGGGGTTGGTCAGCCTAGTGAGCAAGGCAAAAATAAAAGCTTGGTGTCAAGTTATTGTAATGCTACCTAGGAGACAGGATTTCATGCATTTGGCCCACTTTGTGCATTAGTGTTCTCTTTAGAAGTTGTTTTTACCACCATCTCTTGCATTGAATTCCCCTGTTTCATACTGACCATTCTTATGCTCAGTTAGTATTCACATAATTTGTTTTAAGATGGGGCTCTATTCTCTTCCTTAAGTCTGGATAGGAAGGAACTGGGGAACAACTGTGGCTTGTTTTTAAAATTCTAAAAATGGACTATACACTGAGATAGAATAAAAATACTCATGATTTTGCCTAGACTCCTGAGCCAACACTGGAAAAATCAGATTAACAGGTTAGGAAAGAAATTTTGTCTTCTAGTTCCAGTTGGCCATGAGCCAGGAAGAAGATCTCAGGGGATGTGGAGGGTGGGCATGGACAGACTTATTTGGGGCTCTAATGGCTACATTCCCTATTCAGCATGAAATTCAAGAATATTGGTTACATATAAACTGTGAGAGCTTCTGTAAAGGAAGCAGGATTTGGCTTTCTGAAGCTGCTTCCTTGGGGGCCTCCTCGTTTAAAATAGGGAGACCGTTTTTAGGGATAGCATGCATGACGGTGAATTTGGGATAGAGAACATCTGTAAATGGTTGTGTTAATGGTGTTCATGAAACCTCAGGGTTTCAGCTCTGACCTTCTAGAAATATTTTATTTTATACCATGTGGAAAAATCTCTAATATAATAGACAACAATAGCTTTATTTTTGTTTGTTTTGTTTTTGTGGCAGGAGAAAGTAACAGTAGGTTTGAAGCATTTTCCTTTCAGCATACAGGACCAGAATCCCTTAACAGTTTTACTGCAGTGACCAATGTCAATGTGCTATCTAGATCCACTTCATCACAGGTAAAGCAAAGATTAAATGGATTTCATTGAATCACCAACAGAGTGTTTATGGTACAGGCTTTATGTATGTTCCTTAGTTTTACACTGTAATGCAGTTTTACACGTTCATTGATTAAGCTTGTCTAATTCTTATTGAGAAAGTAATGTACCTAAAATACAGAAACGCATTGTCATAGAATAGCTTCTAGACCATGTAACTAGACTGTATAATTAGTTTATAAATAATATTTGTCTAAAAGATTTCATTTAAAACCTCATTAAATGATTTGAAATTTATGCTCCCAGTGGAGCTGTGCCTAGAGGCTTCAATTACTCCTCTTTATTGAGCTTCTCAATATTGGCTGGCAGTGTAAATATGGTTATGGTAGTTTACCCAGATGCGTCTTGGTATGCCAAGACATGTCAGTTTGAAACTACCTGTTTACTGAACACCTGATAAAATCACTGGTAAACTTTGATTAAGGGTGGCATCCTGGCCTCATGGAAATGTATGCCCAAGCACCAGGTAATGCTGTAGTCTGCATTTTTTTCAGTCCTGTAGTATACAAGATACCTGAGTGGTCCAAATTGCATAATCTACTTTAAGGATAAAAATATATGTGGTGGTGGTGGTGGTGATGTTGCATTTCCTTCCTTAAATGATCCCTTTATGCAAGTAGTGAACTTCTTTCCTTTAAACATATTAAATGAGAACTGATTCATGCTAAAATGCACTCTACTTCTCAGGTGAAAATAAAAAGTTTGCAATTTAAGGTAGCTCATGGTTTAAACTGAAACTCTCTACTGTAATTTAGAAAAGTTCTGATGCACTTAGAATCCACACAGTTGAGAGGAGAGACTGAATAACTTAGAGAGAAATGTTGAGAAATTCAGTATCCCCTCTACTTCCCAGAAAGTGTCTCTGTCTTCTGCAGACTTTGAAAAGAATATTTTTCATGTAGGTTGTTCTACATTAGGGATGTCAAACATATGACTCACAGGATGGATGGGGCTGGGAATTTGGGGGCAGGGTAAGCAGGGGTGGGGCCTGCTGTGGAAATCCAAGGCATGGAGTCCTCCGTGTGTGCTGGGGCAGCAGGAAGGTGAGTGGTGGCTATGGTAACCCCCATGCGACTGTTCACCCCACTGCCACCACTGAGTCTGGATATGGCTCAGGAGGCTCTTTGCAGTTTGCATACAACCTGTGAGGAGCCCTGTGGTACGGATCCAGTACAGGGGCATAAGCTTGATACCCCTGTTTTATATCGTTAAATTTAGGCTGTGGTCTTTTAGAATTTTTGTTTTTATTAAAATGTTATATTTGTCGTGGTCAAGCTACAGATTGGATTAAACTATTATAGAATGCTTTCCATATAGCCTGAACATGATGAAGGATGTAGCAGTAATAGGTTTTTAAGAAATTCCCAGTATTAAGTGCAGTAGTGAAATCAATGAACTTTGTGAGAACAGATTGAGGCTAACACTGAGCACTTCTGAAAATCCAGTCCTAAAATATTACTATTTTTTCTGTCTGATGAATTTACAAAAGATTTTCTTGTTTAGTTCTGTGGAGCTAATATGTAGCTTTTATAATAAAACTAATGGCTTCCCTGTTTCCACTAATTATACAGCATAATGCGAGACGGAGATTGAGAAGTGAGAGCTCATATGATATAGACAACATTGTTATTCCTATGTCACTGGTCGCACCTTCTAAATTGGAGAAGCTGCAGTACAAAGAAATCCTTACTCCAAGGTATTTTTCACCTTTACTTGTGCTTGCACAACCAAGATTAAATTAAAATATAGTCAGTTTCAAAATAATGAGATAAAAATATTTTGGGGTACTACAGGCCTGAGGTTCCCTGCTCATAATTAGGATTTGCTATCATTTTGGTAAACTAGTTCAGCAGAAAATAATCCCCTCAATAAACTGCAGGAAAATATACATTGATATTCCCCACAAAAATCCTTGCAGTGTTTATATAAAAAAAAAAAACCCCAAAACCCCATCAACAATTCTGATCTTGAGGACTTAAAGTACATTTTTAATATAATGTATTCTGGTATGTGATTCAGTGATCACCTCACTTTAATCATTATTTTATTTGTAATTTCCCTGTAATTGAGTGAATCATCCAAAATAGCAATACTCAAGTTCTTTCTTCTGTAAATCTGTGTCTTGTATTTCAGGATTTGTTTTGCTTTTAAGGACTTAAGATAGTGCTAAAGGAACACTGTTAAGGATGTTGTTTTGAAATAACAAAAAGATGTTATGTAACCTTTGTCAATACTTTTACATAATTTTTGTTAATTTAAACTGATTTTAGATGTGTTTACACCAGGGGTGGACAATTATTTTGGGCGGAGGGCTGCTTACTGAGTTTTGGCAAGCCATCGAGGGCTGCATGACAGGCAGCCAGGGGCAGATGAATATTAATTTTCTAAATTTCTTAGGGGCCCCGTGGGCCGGACAGAATGGCCTGGTGGGCCGGATCTGGCCTATGGGCCGCATTTGCCCACCCCTGGTTTACACATTCCCTGGCAATGAGGCTGATTGAAACAGATCAGTCTCAGTTCACTGCTGTAGTAAAAAAAAAAGCTAAATTTGGGTGAATGTATTTTAATTAAGACTTGTCTCATTCATAGCTGGAGAGTTGTTGACCTTCAACATTTGGAATGGCCTCCCATAGGTAAAGAGGAGGTAAGCTACATTTATATAAGCCAAGAGTTTATGCTGTATGGAACATCTTTCTATATTTTAAGTATTCACTGATTTCATGAAAATTCTAATAAGTAGGAAACTTTAAAAATAAGCTTAATATACTAGAAACCTTTCTAAACCTTTGCAATAAAGTGTGTATGTATGTATGCATATGTACAATTTGTGTGGGTATGTACAAATAAATATTAAGTTTAATGGTATATTATGTTTCTATTTTCTTGTTCTGTTTGACAACACCTACGAGCGATAGCAGTATGAATATCTCCAAAAGGAAACAAGGAAATGAAAGAACACAGGAGACAATCCTAGCATTTAAGCACCACTTTACCCACTTTTTCCTGAGTTATTTTGTCTCTTACATCTTAGAAACATGATGCCTATGCATCATTTCTCCTGATTTATTCTTTCTTGCATTATTTTCCTTTTTAGTTTCAAATGAACAGGAGAAAAGAAGTAGAACTACAGGGGAAAGTAGAGGATTAGAGTAAAGGAGGGATGAGGCATCTAAGGTTCCTTACCTTAAAATGTGTACGTTTTGAATAAAAGCTCTAGCACAAAACAATCAAGCCAGGGATCCAGTAGTATAGCCTTTTTATTGACTACCTTCTCGATCCCCATGCTCAATTTCAGAAAATTCTGACAATGGTAAAGTCTCTAGAGGCAAATTGATAATCACTGGATACCCAGATTTGCTCATAGCTTCTCTTCCTGTACAAGTAGCATCAGACAGCTATTTTTCTTGGCATGTAACAGATGAGTAGGAAATGTTTATCTGTTTTGTTTCCTCTTTGTTTTTGTGGGCCACCAAACATTCTTATCCCCTTGTTAGTATTTGTCTATTTATCTCCCTTTGTTGGGAGGGGATCTGTTTCTCCTTTCTGCTTCCTATCTAGAACAGTGAGGCCTGCATCACTCTTCTTTGTATATTGTAATTCCTCTTCATCACCCACTGCTGTTCCTCCATCAGTAGCATGGGTCATTTTGCTTCCTTCCTGTATGACCCTTGACGCTCTGGTTTGAAGAACATTTTCTTCTCCAGGTCGAGTGTGTACAGACCATCAGATCTGTTCTGTAATCTGTGGTTCTTCTTCTTCCCCAACATCTTGCAGTTTTGCGGTTCCAGTGGCCAGACCAGAAAAGGCCTCAGTATGTCATCACTGCTGTTCTTTGTACTTTCATTTGGCACTACATGCAGTGTATTCTGGGCTCTAGAGAATGTCTCTATTCTACTGTCCCCTTCCCTTCACTTCGTTCATGAGATTCTTAATGTTCCCACAGATACTCCCTAACCCGCTTTCTTTCTGTTTAATGCTGTCTTTGTTGTGGCGGCAATTCTGTAGCTAGTGACAGAATTACTGCTGAAGCTGAGCAGTAAGAATGATGAATTAAGTATGTAGCAGACATTTCCTCTTTGGGGAACCGCTGGATAAGGTAGCTAAGGAGCACTGCTTGCTCAAGAAATTGCTTCCTTCGCACTTCTTTCTTTCTTCTTCTGTTAGTCCTGGTGTCTTGTTAAAACTGGTTTCTAGCAACCACTGCTTCCTTCTTTCCAGGGTTTTAAGAGACTTGATTTTCACACAGGGTCTTTTGCAGAATTCCAAAGATGTCTCTGGTTACAGGGACAGCTTTGGATCTCACACAAATGGAACTCCTGTTATATTCTTTTGTATATTATATTTATTTTGCAGAAAGGACTGATATATCTGTCTTTAAAATCTGTATGGAATAACTAATTGAACCAGTGTGATTCATATGACACTTAGGCCAGAAGGTGCTTCAAGTGTACAATAAAATAGCTACAGGTTATGTTGGAGTTTGCTGTTTGCTATATTTTCTGTCAGATGCTGGATAGGATGGGAAGGAAGAGACATCAAACAAAGGAAAATAACCAGTTATTCTGTTTGTCCTGGATGTCTTCTTTCATCTTTCCTACTCCTAAAGAGAGAGTCTGCCATTTTGGGATTGTTTTACTGTTTAGGGAGATCTTTGGTTAAAGAAGAAATAAGCTCTCTGGTGTTCACCATTTTGGTCTTATTTCTTACTCCTGTTCTTCCACATATTTACTTCAGGATGCAAACTGCTGGCTAGCCGTTGTTGTATTGGGGTAGTTTGAGAGAAAAGAGGTGAAAAAATAGAATTACTTGTCATTATTTTTTTTCTGTTTTCTACTGCATCAGTTTTGTTTAGTTTAACTTGACTAACTAACTCTCAAACTTGTTGTTGTGCTGAAGTTGTTCCTTGTGCTGAAACCAAACAAGTTTCAGTTCAAAAGTATATTTTTTTAATGAAAGATATGAGTAGGGAAAAATATACTTGTGCAAGATATCTTTTAGCTTTTCTGTTGGTTTCCTGTTGCACCATGCAGATGTGCAGCACCTAGGTTTTTTGCATAGCCACTGAGTGGTACACTTTAACATGTATAGAGTTGCGCAAAACATGGTTGCATCATTCCATGACTATATACACACATTTAAATAATCTGAGAAAATTCTTCCAGGTTTGTTCTCCTGGTAGAAAAATTTACCCAGAGCCACATGTACAGACATTCAAATGCTGAGGGCTTAAAGAGCGGAGGGCTTGCAGTGCAGAGACTGTGCAGCTGTGGAGGAAGGCAGGGTTGTGCACAAATCCCAGTATGTTCTGCTGGCTCTTAAGACAAATGGTAGTAGTTCATAGGGAAGCTCTAACGGTTGACTAAGACTGCCCATGGTCAGCCTGTGTTTTTTGCAGCACAATGTGGGGATTGTGAAAGGAGCATGTTCTGCTCCCTGTTGAATCAGCAGAGTCCAAGAAGCAACACGCTGTCTCCCTGAGGGGGGGGCAAGGGATGCTGGAGGACTAATATTACTACAGCTAGAGATTTCCTTCTTTTTGTTTTATTTCAGTTCCTTGAAAAGCTATGAGAACACAAATGCAAAAGCCTGTCTCCCTGAGGGGGGGCAAGGGATGCTGGAGGACTAATATTACTACAGCTAGAGATTTCCTTCTTTTTGTTTTATTTCAGTTCCTTGAAAAGCTATGAGAACAAAAATGCAAAAGCCTTTATTTACATAATAAAACTATACAGGCCAGGATTTTCAAAAGCGAAGAGTGATTTTTTTGTGTGTCCAACTGAGGATACTTTTTTTTTTTATAGAAGCTTTGATATTCAATGGTAGGAACTCAGCACTTTCTCAAAATCAGTTCCCTTTAAGGTGTCACCAACTAGACGCAAAAATATTAAGCACCCAAAATTGCTGGTCATTTTTTAAAATCTATGAGAATAAAGATAGAAATGTCAAGAAATGCTTGAGTCAAGCTTCTGGTATCTGTTACACCGTACATTCTAAAAGCATTAGTGTAGCTTTTGAATTTTCTGACTTTTCTATGTTCATATTGCAATCTGTCTTGAATTAGTTGTAAAGTAATAGTTTATTAAAGCATTGCTTGTTTCAGTAACAACCAACTCTTGTGTATTGTTGTCAGCTAATGAACAGTTTATGAGCAGCTGTTCTCAAGGTTTAAAATGTAGTAGGCATTGTCTACATGTGCACTTTAATGTGCGGTAGACTATTTTACTGCGCATTAAAACATCACGTAAAACACCATAACATTACACTAATGTGCACTAAAATAGTCTACTGTGCATTAAGCGTCACTGAAAAAGTGTGCAAATGTGCTACTGGACACGTCTACACATGATGTTATGTTGCCATAGCAACGCACAAGGTGATGTAGCGTCCATGGGCAAAAAACGTGACTCTGCAGCTACGTTGCTGTAACAACACACTTCCTTGGTATATCGTGCTGCTATGGCAACATAGGGGGTAAAAATAACCATGCGATATCGGCATGGTGCAGTACGGGCTGTTACTGTGCCATCATTTAGTACTTCCAAAAGGAAATACTGAATGATGGCGTAGTAACAATGGCGTTGTAGGGGCAAGTGTAGATGTGCCCACTGTGCATTAGTGCAGCCTAATGCACATTAATTTAGTACCTCACATTGGAGGGACTAAATTTAATACGCGTTAGAAAAGATGCATTAATGCATGTGTAGACGTGCCCGCTATTTCCCATTAAATTGAAATTTGAAATGCAAAATACTTGAGCCACTATCCCATGATTTTTTTTTGTGGTCATGTCAATGCTGGAATGTACAGTATAATAATTCCATATTCTGCTATGTGTATGTTGAGAATCTTGCCAAAGTAGGACTATTTTTATTCAGTATGACTGCACATTGTTGCACCATATCAACTCTGAAAACTAAGGTAATGAAGTCATGTCTGTCTGTCCTCCTGGGCTAATCATTAGCTACTGATTCATATTTCCACACTGTTTCTGGTCAGGCAGGATGGATGTAAGACACTGTGGGAGAATCCAGATCTTTATTTTGATTTAAAAATTTGCCTCAGGTCAGATCATTAAATACGTCTTGTGGACATATCCCCTCAACATCACCACCAGATTCATATTCTGTCACCTGATAATGATTTTTTTTCTTTGCTTGTAGTCAAGCTAACCAAAAAGCATTTATGGTCACATTTCTCAGCTTCATTTAGTGTTAAGTATATATTAGTCTAAGCTTGGCAGAGACATGTATACAACCAATTATAGAGTTTTACAAAGAAACACAGCCAGATTCTGTCCGACTGCAGTGGAGATCAGTTTGGCCCACAATATGACGTTTCATCCCAGATAACAAGCAACAGTTTGGATTAAGAACATATATTCAATGTATGCCTTTTGTGGATTATTATAAAATCTGCTTTTTAAATATTGTACAATTTTGAGAAGATTTTTTAAAAGCTCTTTTCCCTTGAAGAGAATCACAGATTGATTTTTTTTTTTTTAAAGGAAGCTTGTCAAAACCTAAGTTAGCTTTTTCACATCATGAAAAGACTAAGCAACTTGCTATGCAAAGTATTTCAAAGTCTATATAAGTTTTTCTTTCAAAGCTGCTTTTTGTTTCAACTTCAAACGAAATTTTATAGCAAAGGAAAATGTGAAGTTCTTTCTGAGAGAGTAGCGCTTTTACAGTGTGTAAAACACTCACCTTCAGACTGTGCATTATCGACCTTGAGGAAGAAATCTGTAGCAAAGTGCAGAAATGTACAAATGTCTTGAAAATCATTGTTAAATACTAACAGGAGGAGACCTGATTAAGGAGACTCATAAAATAGAGACAACAACTAACAAATTAATTTATACATTTAACATACATAAACACAAAGTAATGACTATTCTTGCAAAAAAATCACAAGACAATACAATTAATTTGTATTAAAGACTGAGAGAAACTGGATTAAGAAAGGAAGGGATTCTGGCCAACTGGCTTTAAGAAGTAGGTGCGCTATGGTCTAGTTCCCAAGCCCAGTGAAACCAATGAGAATCTCCATTATATTGTTGAGTTTAAGATCAAATTCTCAGTCTCTAGCAACAGATTACATTAGAGCTATGCTCTCTGGTCAGTCATGGAATAGCAGTTTCAAAAATATTTGCACAATTAGAGACAGTTTTGTTCATTCTGTAAAACCAGGTACATAGCACAGTTTCTGGAGAAGCCATATGGCTACAGGCAGTCCTTGGACTTACAACACAGTTGATTCCTGAAAGCCGCATCTTAAGTTGAAACGTCGTAACTTGGAACTGATTTTCCCATAGGAACAATGTTATAAATGGGGGATTGGTTCCTGAACCAAGGCCTGATACCCTGTTTTCACCAAAAATAACCTAGAATTTTGTACTCAATCAATTATATATAAGTAATATAGCTAAATTAATGTATTTAATACTCCCAAAAGGAGTACTAAATGACGGTGTACTAACAACGGTGCTGTAGGGGCACATGTAAACACACCCCTTGTAACTAAGTTTACTCCTTTGAACTTCACCAC